GCGATGGGAAATTAATTGGCGATTCACAACATGTGTTTGACCTCTTTTCCGCCGGGAGCACACGTCTCCTTATCTATTTCCGACGCTATCGCAAGATGCGGGGGCATTGCGGTGGAAATGCAAAATCGCGTAAAACATTTTCTGGGTAAAAAAGGGGACTAAGCTTTAGGAGTGATTTTCCATGAAGTTCCTGTCCCCTACTAGGCTTAGTCTGAGGATGCCCCCGTATCTTGCGATAGCGACCCATTTCCTCCATTAATCCCTGGCAACTTCACAGTAGCTCACGCTATCCCCAGCTTCCACCCCTTGGCTCAAACCGTAGGTTATTCGAAACATATGCTGCATTTTTTCCACGTCCACTAGCGGCTTTTCTTTTGCCATTACGAGGAGGAGGTCTTCTCGTTGCTGTGTCGTTCTCGAGAGGTAGTTTGAGATGCGTGAGGAGCGCGTATGTGTAGGGGGCTGTTTTTGAGACCAAGTGTGTAGTGTAAGATTGACGCCTGCGCTTTACAACATCGTGTGGCCGATGGCGGCCGCATTCCCAACGCGAGCCTCCAGGTCTGCTCACATCTATACCAAGAACTTGCCATGGCCACACGGAGTCAAGCACTACAAATCACATGTGAACTCGAAAAATCTCTTGCGAACAAATAGCCGTGCATGTACAGAAAAAACACTATACCCCACGCTTCACTATTAGCATAGTGCCCCATAGCTCTTGCAAAAATCAAAAGGACAAGTTCCATAGAGATAATGGCACGCAATATTGCCATTCCCTTACATACACATGTAACTGAATATCTACTCGGTACTGTAATGGTATCAAATTTCCGTGTGATATGCCGCATGTTGTGCAATTACGGCGGAAATACGGATAATTCCCTAGCAGTGTTCAACGCTTGCACACATTTCCGTCCCCTTACTGTCCCTAGCTAGTATAGAGGTGCGTGCTCCCCATAGAGTGGTGACCCATGGGGAGCTCGGGTGAACATCTGGATTGCGATTCCTAAATCTCCCAATCGGCTGTCAGCCAGCGCTTTCCCATTACCTGACTCAATTAATGCCACCTGTTACTTGAGTGGCCCAGGGGCTACCGAATGGGTTTAGGGAGCTGATGGTTTGGGGCGTGGAAGGTTCATTCAGGGAGTTCATGTTTAACAAGTAGGGGATTTCAGGAGTTACCAAATGAATGATGTCCACTTTCGTGCT